CGTGGATGATGATATTGTGAATATTAGTGGACCATTTTTCAGAATTTGCAACTTTTGCAGAATTGACGGCACTTGCAACTCCAGCCCAAGGCCTCGCATGGCAATATAAATGGCTCTCAATAGCTCTTAAAGTGCCCTATAGTTTGTTTGAATGAATTGATGCCTTCAGTATTTGACAAGATTGAACCATAACTTGGTTGTACTGTTGACTGTTTTCCTGTAATAATATGGCTCGATCAAAATTTATTCTTTTTTGGTGAATTAAAACCTTTCTAGTTGGTGGAAATCGCCCTTTTTTTTTCTCTAATTGGATTGATTCAAATCAATATTCCAATGAAACACCCTCGAACAACCTCTATCTCTTCTTATTTTGCGTAAGCACTCGATAATGGCCCGATCTCATCGTCTTCGCTAACAAAAATTATCATCAAATTTTTCAACCAAAAACATCCTGCGATTTCCGACCTGTTCCATCGGAATTAAAAACGCCCTATAAAATCAAGAGCATTTCTACACATTATCAACAACGTTCCTATATTAAAGGTTTTGGATTATCATAAATGCACTTGATCGTTCTGTCAGAATCTATCGTAAAGAATATACCAGAGAGAACAACCGTTTTCAAATTTGGAAGATTTTGCTCAAAGAACTCGAGATAACCTTTGTAAAAATGTGACACACAAACGGCTAATGGTTCAAAAAAACTTTCATCAAACATACAATCATAATCATTGAAATGGTTGATGCTTTCATAACCATGGAAATCCCATGTTGTTTCACCAGGACCAAACTTCAATACATCAAGGTCTGACTGATTCTTTAACCTTTTCAATAGTTCAACACCACCAATCCCAAATAATCTTGGTGCAATAACATCTCTAAAATCAGCATCTTCTTCATCATAATATTGATGATTCATCAAATAATGGTCAAATAAATTGAGAACTTCAGAACAGTACTCACATTCACACCCATTCCATAATAAATCTGAGACCAAAATCTCATAACAGGCACATGTTTGCAACAACGTTGGACTAGCCAACACTTCTAAAGATTTGAGAGTTGGCAACACTTTTTCATACAATTTCCTTCTTCTGACATAATTACCTTCAACATTGTTTTCAAGTTTCCCATCTCTTGGTGGATTATGACGAATTGAAAGGAATTTTAAACCTTCTGGTAAATGAAGTAAGAATCTGTTAATATTGACATCCCATTTTTCTGATAAGTAATGATCTCTATGAAACGTCTTTTCCTGTATGGATAATTTCTTCAAACTTGTCAACTTTGGTGCCAGATCATCAAGAAAAGTATCCAAACAGTCGCAGTTTTTCACTTCACACCCAATTGCCATCTCTAATTCTTCAAGGGATCCAAGGTCAACACATTCTTCTACAAATGTGATAGTAAGGTTTCTCAGAACAGCATTGTAATCATGGAGACCATGAACATGATTGAAAGCAAGTCTTTTTAATTTCAACTTTTGTAATCCAACTTCTGATAAAGTCTTTAGTATCCTCAAGGAAGCAGACTCTTCATCAATAAGGATCAGTTCTTCAAGGTTGTTCAAAGATGGAAGAACACTTGGAAACTTTTCTTCTGTATTACTATGCAATTTAATTGTCAAGGATTTCAAATTTTTTGTTTCTTTGATTTTATCAATATCATCTGTAACGATTTTTTTGAGTGAAGTAATCGAGACGGCCTTGAGCAACGAATCTGGAACATCTAAAACTTCAATATTTTTGGCTTTGTCTTTGAGTGTTGCAATTAAATCTAACAACTGCCCATTGCTATCTTCATAATTGAAAACTTTGTCGAGTATGATAACCTCTTTCACTAATGATGAATATTTGATGTCTTGTAAAGATTGGATTAATCTATCTAATTTGAGATGAATGATGTAGTCATTTTGGTCTTCTCTCTTGTGTAAAGACCTATAGCCTGAGACAGTTGTCCAAGAACAATCAATATACCAAATATTTGAGTGATAGACAGGATCTTTTCTTATGCAAATTCTTTTGTATAGCCTTTCGAGGGACACATGATGGAGTTTCTTTGAGCATTGAGCAGTTGAACAAACATCTGATTGCGGGAGAAACGACAAAATTCTTGACAGGACAACGCTGGGAAGTTCAGTCAACATGATAAAATGTATAATATAAGGATTCTTTCAGGTTTCAGATAGCAAATAGTTGCGAGATGTTGTAAAAGATTGACAGAGATGAGCTTTCTCCCCCAAAAAAATTATGGACTGCTCAACAAAATCGTGCGGTCACCAGATTTTTTTAGTTATCTATTTGATCTATTATTATAATCTTCAACTACAAATTTGCACTTTCCAGCCTTAATGGAGAAATGATTACGCAATACTGTTTTAAATAGACATGTTTTATATTATATATTTAAAGTGGATCTGGCTTGAATGTGGCTAGATCTTGTAGGTAATAGTCTCTTGCTTGTATCAGCTTAAGATCATTTATACGTAGTGGCTCTGGAAGTTCTTTCCCTATACTCTTGTAGTGCTCAATCTCATACTCATAAGTTAAAACCAACACTTTCTCCACGATTGATAATACTTCATTCAATGCGTTTAGTAACGGAAGTCTCTCTATTGGTGTTGATTCATTCAATTCTCCTTCGAACTTATCAAAATATTTGAAAAACGCACTTGTGAGTAAGCCTGAAAATAGATCACCACTCCCTGAGAATGATGCTTTGATGGATGGTACTTCGAAATAGAAACTTTTTTTGGTGGAACTATTGATCTTTGTGGAACCAGCACTGTATAAATGGTCAACATCGTCATCAAATTGTACAGAAGTAACAACGATATTCTCTATTCCTGGATATTGATTATGGAATTCACTGATTGACTTTTTAAGTGAGGTCAAATCATTTACTTTCACCCCTGTTAACACTTCAACTTCTAACTGATTTGGTGTAACCAGGTTAACATAACCAGACTTTAACAATTCTTTATAAATCTCAATATTTCCTTCACTAACATAAATCTTTCCATTATCACCAAGAACGGGATCTAATATCCATTTTATATGATTCTTCCTGCAAATGTCAATACAGATCTCTCCTATGGCTTTTAACCCTTCATCATCCGGGATATAACCGGTTAGGATGGCATCATAGTCAGTCCCTATTTCATTCAAGCCTTTATATATTTCTTTCAATTCTTCAGCGGTAGATCTTGTTCCTTTGAAGCTTCCATACGCTGGATGGTTAGAGAATTGCACAGTGTTCAAAGCATCAACGTCCCAACCTCTATATTGCAGTGGAAATGTGGCTGCACTATTTCCAACATAACCATGGACAACATGTGACTGTATAGAGAGCAGCTTATGGATTCTTTGGGACTCTTTGGTCATTATCTGAAGGGGGTTAGGTCTGGCTTTTATGTGATAGTGTATCAAACTCTCTTTGATGAAGCTCGATAGACGTTACAAGTGTTGACTCAGGTTCGCGAAAAGAGTATCATGATTCAAGAGTATGCGTCAACACGGATCAAGTCTTTAAAACACCTCTGAGTCGCTTACAAAACGCCCTTAGCATTTATTTCAAGGTGAATATAATTATTGGCTATAAATTTATGTAAATATTGGATAACAGATGAAGATATATAAGCTCAGAGTAACCATTTTCAAATATGGCAGAATTACGTGTCAGTATTTGATTTCTGGAGTGGTGTTTGGATGCTGAAAAGCCACTTCATCTTGAAATTGAAGAACCCTTTGGTTGAGATTTCTTATAAGGTAGAACAACAGAGCCATTGCTAGTGAATTCATCGATTATCAGCTCTGAAATACCTATTTCACAATATATAATATGGTCAAGATTGAGTCAAAGACACATGATGTCGGCTTTCCAGTTTATGGAGCCAAATTTTTTGATGATAAAACATTAGTTGTTACTGGTGGAGGAGGTGAAGGCAATAATGGTATCCCAAACAAGATCACGGTTCTAAATGTTGATTATGCCGACTCTGTTCAATTAGAATCTAAAAAATCTTTTGAAATCGAAGGTAAAAATGATTCACCAACATGTTTGGACATAAGTGGCAATACAGTTTTGATTGGTTGTAATGAAAACTCAACAAACATTAAAAATGGACAAAACAAGCATTTACGGAAATTTAAATTAACAGAAGAGAAAGAAATCACCTTTGATTCCTCTGCTGATATTGAAGAAACCAAGGATCCAAATGATTATCAAAAGTTTGTCACAATCTCTAAAGACGGTTCAATTGCTGCAGTCGTTTCATCTAAAGTCCCAAGTACAATCAAGGTTATTGATCCACAAACATTAAAAGTCTTAGACGTTATTGATGAAAAAGATGAAATAAATGATGTTCATATCAGCCCAAACAGTAAACAAATTGCATACATTACAGATTCAAGCCTAGTTGTGGTGGAGAATAGTGAAAAACCAATACTTAAATATGATAGATTTGCTCCAACGTATAACCTGACCAAAGTCAAATTCACAAAAGACGGTGATTTAATAGTGGCTGTTAACTTGAGAAATAAACTAGGTGTGTTGTTAGCGCATGTTATTTTTGAAGATGATGCCTTAAGAGTTAAGAAAGCTAGAGTGGTGAATAGCAAAACTCAAAAAATCACAGCATTGGATGTCAGTGACAAGCTCGTTGCTGTTTCTGGTAATGATAGTTCAATCATCATTGCAGGTCTAGAACATTTTGATGTTTATAAAACATTGAAACAAGTGCACACTTTTGCAATTACCAAAGTCATATTCAGTCCAAATGGCAAATACTTGGCCAGCACTAGTGTTGCAAATACCGTTAATGTGATCAAGATTCCTGAAGATATAGCCAAATCTTACTTTTGGTTGAAGTTCCATATCTTTGTTGTCTTATTTGCCCTCTTTGCTTATTATTTGATAAATGCAATCCCACAGGAGAAATTTGATGAATTTGACAAATTAATCCATTACTTGTTTGATGAGAACCCATATGATTATGATGTTAGCCCAGAAACTGGTGTTGCAGAAGAATCTGTCATCACAGAGACATTTACTGAAACAAAAGTCGTTGAGGAAACAGTGACAAGAATCAAAGAAGGTGACATTGTCGAGGTCTCTACTATTAGTTATGCAAAAAACTGAAGATGGTGACATTTATGAAGATGCTTCTAGTTTGGTTTGATGTACTATACAGATAATTTCAATCTTTGAAAAATTGTTCATTTGTAGTATCAGCTTCTGAGTCATCAATAGCTTCAACTTTCTCTTCTTCAACTGGTTTTTTTTTATCTTCTTCTTCCTTCCCAGTCTCAAGATTCTCATCTTTTGGTTTCTCAGATTCCTTCTTTTCCTCCGCTCCCCCCCTCCTTTTTGTTCTTTAAAGCAGTTTTCTTTGCCTGTGCAATTAATAAATTCCAGCCATTTTCATCCAATTGTTTCTCACTATTGCCATTTTTAAACTTCAAAGAGTTTTCCCATTGTGCTAATTGTTTTCTCAGAATTTTCGGGTTCTTTGGGACAACAGAGTCACAATTTGCATTCCACAAAATCAAATATTCATTATATCTTTGTTCTAGTTGATTTCTAGTACCAGCCACAGGAAGTTCCAGTTTTGTCAATTTTTGCTTTAGTCCAGATGTTGATAAAGAAGGATAATCTAATTTTGTAAGCTTCTTCAAGTTTAAATTATTCTCTTTAGGTTGGAAATAAGGGGATGGTGATGCTGGGGTGGATGACTGTGTGGGTATACTTGTACTTCTTTTGCTTGGTGATGATGTTGAAGGTTGAGGTACGATGGCAACTTCCGGTTCTGGGTTTGCTAAACAAGCATCAATGTGTGTTGACTCTAAAACTTTCAGTGATAGTAATTTGTTACATATTGGACATGTTCCTTTCTTCTCAGTTTCTGATTTGTGTTTCTTGAAAAGGCTTTCAATGCCATTTGCCTCCGGCTTTCTTTTCTTTGGTTCATCTATTATTATCACATCATCATCATAATCTTCGTCTTCTTTATCCAACACCTCAATACTATTGCTATTTGGATCAAGATCGTAAGAATGCTGTGTAGGTTCGTTGCTCTTGATTTTGGGTATTTCTTTGGCAATCTTGAGGTTTTCTAATAGATCATCTCTAACACTTCTATAACTAAGAACCACTTGCTCTAGTAAAACATTCCTGCTGAGGTTTGATTCCCTAAGCTCTTTTGCACATATGGGACACTTTGGGGTGTGTATAAGATATTTACGTATGCAAACTGAACAAAAAGTATGACCACAACTGGTTAACATTGGGGCTGAAATAAATTCTTTACATATATGACATCTTAGTAATGAATCAATCTCGAACAGTTTGGGTATTTTTGTTGTTTTGAAATCCAAAGGGTCAGTAATGTTACTGAGATCTCCTAGTAAGTTCATTTTTGGAAATGATGAGGTTTTTGATGGTGGGTCCAAGGTGAGAATTTCTGAGTATTGAATGTTGGGTCTCATCGAGAGTTGTTGATGTTTGATCCATCATAAAGTTTTTTTTGCCATTTACGACGCGATTGGAAATGGTTACAGACCCTGGCCGACACGATATGTAAACAGTAACAACTTACAAGCCATAATTATTCGTGGACAAGATTAAAGCTCTTTCAGCTTTATGACTTTTGTAGAACTAGCGACGACCCACGAACACACAATTCTGTTGTTCTCAAATCACAAATAACTTAAGGGTGTGGCGATGTACAGCTTCAAAATCACAGACTAGAATGAAGATCTGAAGAGCATCATGTATTTGACTGATAACTCTTTGTGCAACTTGAGGAACTTGAAAGTTGTCACTGAAACACTGCAACTCATTACAGAGGATCTTGAAACAAAATATATCTAAATCAAGTTCTTTATGGGTGAAACCACTAGTAGGCTAGTGGGCCAGATTTCCATTATGAAAATATTTAAGGGACGCGTATCCATGAAAACTAACTCGAATGTCAGAAGTTGAAGCTTCACTCTAAGATTGCCTCAAATTGACAGGGTTTCGTAATTTTTTTTTGAAGTTATACCTTCATTTGGGGTTTGATTTCTCTACATGTAGCACGCTTGTGAATCGTGATTATGGAGTTTCAAAATCCCGATTTTCAAAATGAGGAACATGTGGTGGACGCTGGCTGTACGTGAACATATTGGCTTAAGCCCCTAGTTGCCCGTGTAACTGTGTGCACAGGGAATAATTCTGGCCAATCAGACACTTTCCAGCTTCACTTCATGCTTCAAGACGCAGATTTCACGTCTTTAGTGTTCACTCACTTGTGAAATCTGAGCGTGTCGCGTTTGTTTACTTTTCGTTACGTAAGCAGCAATAAGGAAAAAACTTCATCGCGTTTCTAGTTTCACTTCTTTTTGCCGCCTCATATACAGCTCTGCTTTCCCTTTCTTTCAAAAAGACAAACCTGTATCAATCAATCAACCCTCATCCAACAAGAACCATAGTGCCCAATATTAAGCTGACAACAAACAAAATAACACCAGAACCCTTACCGCTCTTTCTAAATCAAAGGATTATTCAACCAGGCGAGAAGAAAGCCTTCAAATAGCTGTTTTAATACACCTGTCACTTCAACTGTGCAAATATTAACACCAAATTTCCTTTCAAAAGAAGCACTGGCGTTACACTACTCCCCAGGGACCAAAGAAACAACTAGCTGCTCTGGATTCTCAAAGCAAATACTTGATTCAATTTAGTCTTCATTATTAATAGGGGTTTGCTAGGTTGTGCTGTTCTTCTGCGTGGAAATCTCAATACTATAGATACAATTTTTTGAAAGTAATAGATATGCAATTCAATCAAGATCTCAACTCAAATTTGATCAAGTCACTTACATCTGTTCATTTACCACCACCTCCTTCTTCTCATATGAGTCAACAGGCTCATCACCCTCAATCTCAACAACTGGGTGGAAGTTTTCAAGCAGCAGGTACAAATGAAATCATATTAGATGAAAGGGTACCATTGAAAAATGCTACAGACTTGAATATAACAACAGTTTCTGAGAATTATCCAAGGTTTTTGAAAGCATCTAAAAGAAGAAGTAACACAACAGATGAATTATCACTGCCTTTAACTACACCTCCTCATACGGTTGGTAGAAATGAAACGCGTCCAGTTAAGAAGAATACTCAAAAGATTGATGATACCCCATTGAATACTGGTAGATCTAAAAAGCAGGTTACTACTCAAAATCCACTTTCACCTCAATATTCATCACCATCATCAACCAATATATCTTCAGATCCAGCGGTTCCTTCAAACTCATCAACAAAGAAAGTTACAAAACCACCTCAACCAACCTTCATATCCAGACCAAAAAGTCCAGCTATTCAACAGGAAGTTTTTGAACTGCCAT